CTACATCAAAAAATTTGTCAAAACGAGTTATGTTGGAAGGACATTTGCTACAATTGGGTTAAAGTTAAGGACCATTTCTCTAGTTGAATTAAAGTTGAGGGACCAATGGTAATGGATTTTTAGTTGAGGGATCATAATTGCACATTTTGATGAGTTGAGGGACCAATGGTAATGAATTTTTAGTTGAAGGACCATTGCTCCAATTGAGTTAAAGTTAAAGGACTATAGCTACAATTTACTCGGATTGAAAAGAGTGGGTTTTCTAAAAACTAAAATAATATTTGTTTAAAGAAATTTGCACACCATCCCTCATCATTAAGCCTCCCCTGGCATATGATGAGTTTTAGTAATTGTAATACACATTGTCTTATGTGTTTGTCAGAATCAAGGTATGAAATGCCGATATTATCGGCGATATTTCGCTGGTAATATCGGTTTTTTGAGTTACCGATATTTTAATACTTATCCACTGAGTTTTCGTCAAAATATCGTGATATTATCGATAATATCGACAATATCGCGATATTACCAATAATATCGCGATATTTTGGAGATGTGCGAATCGGAGAAGAACGCCGGAGCTTCTACAGCTCTGGGCGATTGTAAAAGAGCATCCTAGACTCCGATCTAGGTATCAAAATGAAATACAAGATGAGAGGAATATTTTTATAACTTCCGTTTGCCGTGAAACGGTCGGAGGTGTTCGAAAAGTTCGTCGACACCCACAGCCTCGCCGGAGATGGGTATGCCTATTCCCGAGCCGATTTCGTCCCAAAAACCTTGCAAAAACACGAGATAGAACTTAAATTTCACATCTAAGCTTCAATCTAGAACAGAATGAGGTAAACCCGAAGCTTACCTAACCGGAAAAATTCAAGAAACTAGCCGGAGGGTTCCTGTGTTGCCGAGTTGCAGAGACGAGAAGGAGAGGGAGAAAGACGAGGTTGCTGATGACGATGGGTGTCTTCCTCAAGCAAGTGCAATGGTGTGCGTGTGTGTATGTGGGTCTCGGTGCAGAGAGAAAGGAGAGAGATGAGAGTTTCGAGAGAGAGACGGCGCCGACGAGAGCTATTTGTTTTTTTTTTTTATCTTAAAGAGAGAGAGGTCTGAGAGAAATGGGAAGATAGTGTTGGAAATGTGCCCTAAAACCAATCATATGATGATACTTTACGGACATTTCACATATTAAACTAATGTAGTTTAAATATAAAGGGCAAAGATTATTGTTTGAGCCGTCTCATATAAATGTTATATGCTTAAACGATAAGTCCAAGGAATATGTGATTGGGAGAATGCGATCTAAAGAAGTTAGATTCATGAGACCATTCTTTCGTATACACATCCTAAACGTTCCTGATCATAGGATTGCCAATTGGGCATTGACAGTCCGTTAAGATCAGTACGTGCTGTGTCTTCTCTCAGGGAGAGTGACTAGTCTCGAGTCATTGGTGTGTCTGACACCAAGACAAGTACGTAGGTGCTCAATAAAGAATGAGTTCACTGAACACGATCAACGAAGAGTTCTCATACTCATGTCACATGAGAACTCATAGTTGGGATAATGCAAAGTAGTCCTTTGACCTGAGGCATCATAGTTGTCTTGTGGTTAGGTCCTTGATCTTTGATTATGTCAAAGTCACCCCATCCGCGGGTGTCCACGGCATCGTTGGGGTTAAGCCACTTAGCCATGGAGGCAAGTGAATGAGCAACAAGGGATCTCTAACCTTCAAACCGTTTGAGGGAGAATACTCTATGATATGATTAAGAATCTTTGGCCAAAGTATGAATGAGATTTAGGAAGGCGTTCCAAATCACATTCAAGGTAATCATATAAGTAAATGAATCACATTGGATAGTAGACATGAATAAACTATCAAACCAAACAATGTGGTCAAGAGTATTGTATTAGAGAAAGACCGTATTGCATTGTAATCCTAAACTGAATAGGTTATCCACCTCTTCTGATTAGCTTGGGTAACCATGATATGCTGCTAGGTGTCACTCATGGTTTGTGGAAGCTCTAAACGTGTATAAACACTAAAGGGAGAATTGAAAGTAAGTTTCAATTCACATCGATTTGAAAGAGTTTTAATCGCCCACTGCCTCGCTAAAAGGAACCTAATGGATCGTACACCGAGTAAGGTAGAGATTGAAGAAACATCGGAGATGAGTAAGAATAATTAAATGGTTTAATTATTTATGGCAAGGATTAATTAATATGTTAATTAATCAAACGAATAAGTTCGTTAAAGACCTCGGGATAGTTTTGGACCTTAAGGCCCAATGGGCTTCGAACGTCAAGTCTATTGACTTAAGTTATATGACAACTTAATGAATAATGATTCACAAAGGCCCAATAGCCCAATGAATCCCTATGGCCGGCCATTTAGAGATGGAGTGGGTTTTGGACTTATTTACAAGTTTGCCACTCCAATGAATTAAGGTATAAATATGACTTTATAGCCAAAATTCATTTAGGGTTTTCTTTTTGGAAATGATGAGAAAACAAAGCTCTCCTTTCTCTCTAAAGAGGCCGGCCACCCTAGAGGAATTTAGCTAGCAATCTTGCTTCCTCTAGGTCACTCATTTCTACTTAAATCTAACCTTGGTGTGGAGACTTAGAGGTTCTCTACTTTGGGAACTTGGAGAAACCTATTCTTCCATCCAAATCCATGGATCTAAGAAGCAAGGAATGAAGGCCCTCTCTTTGGGTGATTAGCCTTTGCTTATGCAAAGAGGAATCTACAAAGGTATAATTTCTCAACTCACTTTGATTTGATTTGAGTCTTGGTTCACCAATCTACTAGGCTTTGAATTTCATGGGTAATGTTTTGTTTTTGAGTGCATGCAAGCATGATTCCGCCTTTAATTGTTAATTGCATGCTATATGATGTTATTCAAATGAACATGTTTTCACAAAATAATCCTTCAGAGAGGGCCGAGTGAAATGAAAGGAGGTCCTTGAATTATTGAGAGATATCTCTGAGAGAGGCCTAGGATTTCTAAAAGTTAATCAGAAATGGGAAAAATGGGGCACATCTTAGCCTTTATTTTGGAATCCTAAGAAGTTCACCACATGGATGCATGACATGTGTGCATGCCATGTCTGTTGAATGGAAAAAGTCTGACACGGAAAGACAAAGAGCCGTTTGGGGCTCTGGGCTTGAGGCAAGACAGAAAGTGCTAGGGTTTTTTTTTTGAAATGAACATAAGCTGCTACATTCGCATATATTATAGTTGTTGCTAAAGATTGACACCAGTGTGGACTTGGATGTGTTGGTCAACATGTCCTCACAATCCCCAAGTTATCCAGTTCAAACCCTTGCACCCATCAAAATTTTCTTTCTTTTTGATGCGCTTTTCCCACGGCTCTAAGTCTTGATTTCGAATCCAGGTGAGCCCTTTCCTTTTTTTTTTTTGTTTTATTTTTGGTTTATTTTAATTTATTTGTTTATTTTATGTTTTTCCTTTCTTTTAGTTTCTTTGTCTTAGGCGTTCGTTTTTATTAAAGTAGGATGTAAAATCAATTATCTCAAAATTATGTGTTTTAAAATTTTGGACTTGTTTGTTGGATATTTTTTTTTGCATTTTATCATTCTTTTATTATGAAAATAGGCTAAAATATCACTTATGTTTTTGTGAAAATATGCTAAAATATTTATATATATGGTTTTTTTTTAATTCTTTTTGTACTAATTCATTATATATAAATGATTATGGTGTGTTTAAACTTCTTTTATTAATTACTACATATTTTCTATACTCACAATGTTTGCCAGCTCGCTATATAATTAACTTAAATCAGTTAAATCCATCATGCAATGCATTTCCTTCCAATTTTTTGAAATAAACTAATAGATAATTGACTAAATAAACATCCTGCAAAGTTTCAATAAAAATTTCCAAGTTTTTCTTACAATTTCCGTGGTTTCCATATTATTTTTTTCGATATCGATAATATCCCGATATTTCCATTAATATTTTTGTGTTTTTAGACTACTGATATTTTCGATATCATCGATATTTTATACCTTGGTCAGAATAGATGATAGATGGATAGTGGTGGATATGTTTATGAAACACGAGAACATAGATTAGTCAAAATATACTGCCTTGCTTATCAATCAACACATGGTGTGTCAAAAACCAATCTGAATAATTTCCTCAATTTTCTATGTAATCCCAATTAATCCATCTTGGGTTTATATTTTTTTATCCAATTTTACAGTTAATTTCTTTGAAATATGGTTTTGCTGAAGATTATCTTGGAATGCTCTCATAATATGAAAACATAAATATTGACAGTGATTGCACATCTATTACATGAAAATTAGTTTCAAACCATTTAATATCGTCCCATTTTCTGTGTTTACAAACTTGAATAGTCAGAATATACCATTCTATGCATTAGCTTTAAACCTGTGCATACATCTCTAAATTAATGGCAGTCAACATTGGTCTTTTCCCTTCCCTCCTTTAAATATTCATGTCACTTCCTATTCCCTAATAACGAACAAACAATTAGTGTTTGTACAAGGCATGTCATTTGGTCGTGAAACAACATTACACATCCTTTTATATTTGTTGTGTCGAAATCTGCTTTTCACTCTTTCTCTCTAACTTTCACTCTTTTTTATCATCCGTATGAATTCTTTGTTAAATATTTTTTTATTAATGCCTTTAAAGCTCTTCTCTAACACTTTGTTTTCCAATTTTAGGAAAAAAATATGCCTGAGTAACCAACCAAATTACAATTTCAACAAATAGGTCCTTTCTTCAAATATTATATTTAATTACAATTTTTAATAGTCAATTATGGAACAGTTATTGGGCCGTTTCTTAAATTACCCATTAAGATAATAAGTCTGGGATATAACACAAACACGACAAACACGATTCGTTTGCTAGGCTATTATAGAACAGTTATTGGGCCGTTTCAACCTTAGTTTTTGGGTCCATCACCAACATAGGCCCCCTCCCACGGAGAAATGAGAAGTGGAGGAGTCTCTCTCCCCGCACCCAAAGCTGCACGCAGAGCTGCTCCAGTACCAGTCGTACCAAATTCACAGAGAAGCCGAAAAAATCATTCACCATGGGAAGCAGATTGGGAAGGAGGGTAGTCCACTTCGCAAACCTACCCATCAAGCTTCTGATGCCCAACAACTTCACCAACATCACAGAAATCGCTCTCAAAACCATCCCATCGGCCTCCAAGATCGAAATCAAGCGCGTCATGGAGTCCCTCTACGGATTCCAGGTCGAGAAGGTCCGCACCCTCAACATGGAGGGCAAGAAGAAGAAGCGTGGCGGTCTTCTCATCGCAAAACCCGACTACAAGAAGGCCTACGTCACCCTCAAGGCTCCCCTCTCTCTCTCCCAGGACCTCTACCCCATCGGAATCGTCCAGCAGGACCGCAAGCAGCAGACAGCCAACCAGACCAAGTCCGCTGTCGTCGAAGAGGGCGAGACGGAGAAGCATTGGCTTTACGGGAACAAGGAGCGGCAGCAGCAGCCGGCAGGCACTCGCAGGGGTAAGAACACCGGTAAGGGTTCGGCTGTTTTCGGCGACGGCTCCGCCAAGTTCCCGTGGAGCAACATGAGGTTCCGCTAGGCAGGTTTGACGAGATTTTAAGGTTTTTATTCGGAGACTTTGAATTTTATGATGTTTGAGGGTTTGATAAATTATCGAGGACGGAACTTTAATAGGCTTATTATGACATATGATATGAAAGAAATGTCTTTTGTTTCGTTGATAATCGGTGTCAAAACATGACGACTGCCCCCTCCGCAAGGTTATTTATATTCGTCCATAAATGTGTTTCATCTTCTCATGCGTTCCAATTCTGAAAATTTGCAGGCTTCTAGTGGTAGCAAAGGAATACTAGCAAAACTTCAAACACACTTTTCTCTTTATTTCTTTTAATGTATAATTGATACATTACGTATAGATGTGCAATTACAAACCATCAACTATTCCAAGAGTTTGTGAACAAACCAGTTGATATGGATGAACTCTCATATATTGTGGGATGTCTCTGCCTCATGGGCTGATGCAATTTAGGATATTGACGACCTTCGTATGAAGGTGGTTCTGCGCCTAGCTGCGTTGGTTCTTTGTTGGTTGTCTCCAGTTTCATTTTCCTCAACTTTTGTATGGAAAGAGTTCTTGATTTTTCTCCATCCCAAACTCCAACCCGATACATTCTTTTGCTTGTTGCTTATTATCCTTTCATACTTGTGTTGCAGTTCAGAGTAGTCACTCTGCAGCTCTGCCATCTTCATCTTTACATTCTCAAGTTCTGCTTTAAGATTTTTAGTCTCTGCATCTGTTGATGAGTGGTTCCCGTGCTGTTCAGAGTTTTCGCCGCTTGGTGATTCCTTCTCTTGCATCACAGTCCTCATCTTTACTTGCTCTGAGAACAGCACCTGCACGTGTTTCATAATTGCTTTCTACAGTTAGAGGTGTCAATTTTGATGCACCACATTCTAGTTGGCTATGAGATTATGGGCTCCATGTGTCATAAATTCAATGGTCATCGAATTCTCAGATAGTTGTCTACGCCTTTGAGAGGATTTTACACCTAGATTATATAAGGGTATTATATTCTAATCTTTCCTTTTTTATAGGATTGCCTCTGTAAAACCCATTTTTTAGAATTATGGTTTCTGAAAACTTTCTGTTTATTTGAGGGTTTTAGGATTTCTATTCAGTTAAAGTAATTTTTTCGTACATTTCAATTGCGTGATTTTAATTTGACATACATCAGTCAATTTAGTCCATACAAGATATAAGTGTCCGTTTAGGGTTCTTATTTTGATATTCAGATTGGTTTTATATTTGGATCATTTTTGTTGCAATATTTTTCTTTTATCATGCTATTGGGTTGCATTTCGTTTCCTGTTATTACATGATAAAATTATATAGATATATATATATATTGGATTTAATTGGAATGCAAGCATGTAAATCTGTCATGGTAAAAGGTCTAGATTCCTTAAGGATATAAGTGGTATCTTAACATTTTAAAACTAAGTTTCAGCATGGGCCAATTCAGTATTCTCATAACTCGAAGTTGAAAAATGTTACCTGGACAATGGTTCTCATAGGCAGTCGATCATTTAGTGCAACGTGCGTGCATGCATCAAGCGATAGTTTATCACAGTTCATTATTCTGCATAGCCTTCTCCGGTCATGCTCAGGCAGCGTAGGATGAGTCTGAAAGAAAAAGGGTTAGGTTTTAGGTTATGAAAAAGGAAAAACTAGAGAAACAGGTGAGAAGGCAACCTTTAGATAGGTATCAATGGCTCTGTAAAGACCATCATCACATGTTCGAGCATTTTCTGGCAGTAATTCTGCCAATACATGAAACTTTGTTATGGAGAGGTTCGGGTCTCCTGCAATCTCTGCTAGGTAGTTGTCTAACAGCTTACTAACAGCGATTTTACCAGTCTTCTGTTGCTGTTCTTGCTGCTCATGCATCAAGAAATATTCCACAATCCGTTGCACAACTTCAATGTCATGCATCATGCATTCTTCAGGTGAACTGTACTATAATTAACAAGAACATGAAGGTTGGTTACGCCGGAAAGATTGTTCTGTAAGTATCTCTCCAATTCGTAATAAATAAAGAATGTAGAATACTCACTTAGCCAGTTTCCCTTGATCTGCATTATAGTAACTAGGAATCAGCAGATCGTTCACATTGGCATCTTTCAACATCATCCCTGCTCTTTTTTCAAGCTCTGAAATCAACGCTGGCGATGCAGAGTACAGCATGGCCAACTTTAACATCTGCAATAAGAACTTACAAGGAAGAGCCTCGTTTTGAGGAGGTAGGATGCTTACTAGGCTTTCAATAATTGCTTTTTGCTCCTTGATATATTCGTAACCCCCGTCTTCCTTCCTCCTACTCAATATACTGAACCGCAGGTCATTCTTTCCAAGTTCATATCCTCTTAGTCCTTCAAACTCCACATCCATGCCTGTCAACCATCTTTCTGCATAGCGCATAATACATTTACCTACAAACGCTGGTCTGGTACTCTTTGCCTTTATTGCTGTTATAGTCCTCATGAAATGATCTATTCGAAAGGTAGCCACTTCGTTAAACCACCAGCCTTCTTGACCATCTGCATCCCCAATTACGTTCTCTCTGGAAGCCTTCCAAGCAATTGTGTCGCAGCAGCGTCTGACAATTTGAAGATTTTCAGCCCATGGAGATAGAGTTTCACAAGATTTGAGCACAGAAACGGTGTCTTTCCATGAAGAAAGGACTACAAGTGTGAGGAAAGATTCAGTCTTAGAAATGAGATTTCCATCTTGAATTTCTTCAGTCATTTCAAGAAATTCCGAGGCGCATCTTAGCGGAGCTATATTGTTAGGGTTTAAGCCCACTGGAAGACCGTAACAGAATTTTAAAATGAGTTCAAAGGTTTCTGATCCACCGGGGAAGTTTTGAAGCTCGAGCTCATAACCGAAGTTTGAATGTGAAGGATGAAATTCCAGTCGACCTATGTAGCCACATTTTGATAGCAAGGGATACTGCAAAAATAAAGAGCATGGACCATGAAATTATTGACTACTCTGTAGATGTGTGTTAGGTATCAAAGTTATATCTTGAGCCATGCATGTTTGTATTGCTCTGTAGTTACCTTGTGAACGTTAAAGGCGACGCCTTCAACTTGAATGGTTAGGTCGGTTGGTACATGAGAATCGATAAACCTGCATGAAGCCACCAAAGGAAAGGAAAGAGTGAGAGGGAAGATAAACAGTCGAAGAGGGAATGGAGGCGAACTAATTGAGTAGTTTCGCCAGACTTTATCTGTTTATACCAGGAGTGTTGTTTCTGTTCGAAGGTGGCGGCTAAAGTGATGTGTTTTGAAGGAACTAGGACGCGCTTAGTGCCCTCGTGGTCGGCCTCTGGAATTTGCGGTGGATTCAGGGACTTGTTCATCTTTTGGCCGGATGTGTAGGGAGTGGCAGATGAGAGATTTGGATGGAATAACATGATATAAGAGAGTGGGGATGTGATCTAAAAGAAGGAATGAATGAATGAGAAGTGAGTCTGTGGTTGTGAACAATGTAGCCCTTAAGGGGGTTGGTGGAGTGATGCTCTCTAATAAATTTCTGAATGTTATGTTGTTGAAAGAGATGGAGGGAGAATGTGAGTTCACCAGCTCTGACTGATGGGTGCCATGTAAACATGGAAGCAACCAACAGATGGTTCGGTGAATCGACAGATCTACTAAGTTACTTGTGCGTGCGAGTTCTATTTTGTGGATTATTTAACCTGTCTATGTCTAGATCAATGCCAACATCTTGTACTGACTTCTTTTTTGTATTGGTTTCTACAACTATCATCATTGTAGATGGTATTGTGACGGATTTAGCCGAGTGTTGACCATGTCGTATGGGTTATGGGGACGAGTTTGTTTTTTGTTTTTTCGTTATTAGGTGATCACTTTCTTGGGTAGAGAAATGATCTTCGCTCTTATTTTGTCCCTCTTCAATGTACTCCTGTTTTATTATGTTACTGTTGACCCTAAAACTTCTAAGCCTACGTAAAGGAGAATCAAGAGATAAATCATGGAATGAATGGAGGAGAAAACGTGGAAATCATTTTCTACTAATCAAGAAACACTAGCAGTTCATTTATGTCTCAACGGTGTTTTACTCTTAAACTCTAACCTCTACGTTAGTATTACTATTGATCCTAAAATTACTAAGCCTAGTAACACCTTAACTCGTCAAGAGGCTAATGAGATAACCTGAAGGTGCTCCTCGATTGCCTGACTTTGTTGTTCTAGTGCTGTTAATCCAAACTGAAGATGTCGCTAGTTGCCAACATAGTGTTGTTACTCCAAACTAAAAGCGTGTTGATGAAGTTAGTATTTTCTCAAAGGTTTTAGAGGGTTTTGCGTAGAGCGAGAATTTGAGCAGAGCAATTTTGTGTATTGAGTTAAAGGTCCCTTGAATGTTGCAGAGCCACTTCTATTTATAGGGGTGATTTTTGTGCTGATCGCCTTATGCCGAAGTAAAGTCCTACCTAGACTATACCTCCTTGACATTCCTAGACCCAAACTCTTATCAAATAAACTTGATCTCCGTGTAGAGCTCGGCCACTCCTACTGTAACTAGGACTGAATCTAGTCCCTTTTCCGTATTCAATTCACTCCTAAACTTGATCAGCCATGAACCTTGATTCTTGGAATATTACGAATCATATCAACATTCATCCTGATCCTTAAACAATTTCACTCATACTCGTTCTCAACTGAATCATTTCAACATGACTCCCTCAGAGTCTTTCACCTATTAGGATTCGGCCATCCTACCTTGGGTTGGACTTATTCCAAGTTTAGAAACATGGGTCGAAGATCTCTACTCTAAGTTGAGCCTATAACCATCTTTGGCCCAAACCCAATATTTTAGGTCCATACATTGCCCCTCGTTTCTGAAACTTTCTGCCAAAAACACCTGACTAGAAGGTCGTGAAAACTACTCAACCACCAACTTCACCAATATTTAATGCACTTGATTCTTGTATCCATGTCACTACCCTCGATGCCACAAAACAGCCACGCGTCGAATTCTTGTGGCATGTATCTGTCTTCTGTTGTTCCACGCGCCATAGGCTTCAAGCACGTAAACCGTCAAGACGTCCATCATTGATGGGCGTGCCTTGGAAATCGGAGCACATCATCATCATGCGAACTAGGGTGAAGTAATCGCCAAGAAATCTAAAATCATGATGAATGGGGCTAGGTTTTCCCCCTTTTTGTCTATAAAAAGCCCAAAGCTTTCTCATTCCTCCCTTACACTCTTAAAACTCCCAGAATCTCTGCTATTTTGAATTCAAGCTTTAAGTTTCTAGAGAAACCAGAAACCTTTCTTCTTTTCTCCAAACTCTCTGAAAGCTTTCTCCTCGTCGCCGTACTCGCCCCCGCGGTTCGGTTAGTAACCGTTACACTCGTCATTGCCGGTGCCACATGCTAGTCGACGATGAATATATAAAGGGAGACACGAAACCATCGTCTTTGATGTCAAACCTGACGGTGATCGTCGCAGACCACATTGACCGTTGCCGGACTCACTAGGATCTACAAAAAAATCCCTAGAGTTGCAGAGCTCAATTTCACTCCCAAATTTAAGGAAAAGAACTCCCAAATTCGTTGTAAAACACCCCCAATAAGTTTAGGGACTTACCTAAAACAAATTTGGGTGGAATAGGGGTCGAATCCCTCTTGGATTCACCGGATTTCCCCTGAAGAGGCTCGCCAGATTCTAGAAAAGTAAACACGGTGCAAGCATGGTTAAAACATGAGACCTTAAGGTCAAAACTTCACCATTTCCTCCTTAAACCACAACGAAAACAAACCCAGAAGAAGAACAACCTCGATGGCTTCAAACTCGACGGTTTTCACTGGAGTTAGTCGCTAGAGTTGAGAATGCATGCACATATATTTACAGGGTTAAAACCCCTCGGATTTGAGCTTAAAACCAACCATAATCTCACACTGAACCAGCACAAGATCAATAAACACAAAGATTGAACCATGAACTGTAAGTTAATTGTGCAACAGAAAACTTATTCACAGTTATCAACTTAACCACTTTCCTGTGGAAGACATAGTCTCAGTGAACTAGGATTAAAAATTGAAGTTCTTCTGCGACTCTACACAACTGAAAGCAAGGCTCGCTCAATGGGACTTGAGTTTACTGTAAACTTGCGGGTTTCGACTCTACACAACTGAAAGCAAGACTCGCTCAATGGGACTTGAGTTTACTGTAAACTTGCGGGTTTCGTGAGAGAGCAGGGACCTCAATTTTATACTTTTTACCATGGAATTCATTAAGGATCCCTCCCATTAAGTGATCCTTATCAACGAGTAGCCTTATCACCATGAAACACTTATGTATTATATCAGTTAGAAGAGTTCTAGTTTTATCGAGACTGTATCTTGAAACTTTAAGTAATACAACTTCTGATAAGTCTAGCACAAGTGTCAATCCTAATCTCCTTTTCATTCCAAGTGTCTTTAATCAAATCACCAAGTGTTTGCTATCATATAAAACTTGGACAAGGATTGTCTGCCTTCCTAGTTGTGATGCCTTCTATGCTCTCCTATTTTGTGCGGTTACGGTTAAGTCACGTCAACATTTTATATTAATTTTTTAATGAGATGATAAGACAAAAAACAATAAAAATATAAAATATTAACGTGGCTTAACCGTGGCCGCACAATAGGAGGGCATGGAAGGGCACCACAACTAGAAGGGCAGACAATCCTTGTCCATAAAACTTACATCTCCCACTAGAGCAAATACTTTGTCAACTTGTATAGTTTATACTTAATATGGAATGAATCTGAATTGGCCATGAGATTAGTATTTGACATTTCCTTGATTTATCAGTCTCTGTCCTTAACAAGTATTCGTGAGAATTATCGGGCAACACACTCAACCTTTCAAAGAGTACTGTCCCCATAATTACTTACAATGAAACTAACCAACACATAAGACCCCAACAAGATATAAAAACACTGTAGGACATGACTGGATATGTATTTGTAATATGTCAAACATCTGGTCCCCTTAAGGATTGAAAACAATCCCAATGCTTCTGAACGAAACCCTTAGGTTGTTTTTCCTTCATAATATTTCAAGATCATTAATCATCATGCATAATCATAACTATATGTTGTATACTTTTTGGGAACTTTAACAACCTTACAACATTTTCTTTATTAGCTAAGAAGCCTTTATTACTAATACTTAAATACAACTTCCAAAACATGAACTGCAACTGAAGAAAACTAACATTTAAAATAAACTTGATATGCAGCTCCCCCTAATTTCCTACATCAGTTTGCTCCCACTGGTTTCTTGCATGAGTTTGCTGCATCTAAATCACCCAATATACCCCCATGCTCGTGACATGCTTCTTGAAAACTGCGATAGGAACAAACTTATTCAATGGATCGGCAATCATTGAATTAGTCTCCAAGTAATCAATCTTGACCAAACTAGCTACCACTTTTTCTCGAGTAATGAGATACTTGATATCTAAGTTCCTTGTTGCATTTGACCTTTTATCATTCTAAGTGAAAAATATAGCGGCGTTGTTATCACAATAAATTTGTATAGGTTTCGAGATTAAGCCCATCACTTGTAGTAGTGTTATGAAATTCTTCAACCAAATGGCTAGATTCAATGTTTCACAATAAGACAAGTATTCGGCAACTGATCACTCATATATTTCATACATTTATACCATCTATTTCTAAAGTCTTTGTTTTTGATGTTAAAATTTGGCAATTTAAATTATTGGCATTTTAGTTTACCTTGTGTTATTGTGCAATTGTTAAATGTGTTTTAAAATTGGAAATTGGCAATTAAAATGGAAGGAAAATAAAAGAAGGAAAAAGGCACATGGGCTGGCGAAGAAAGAAAAGAATTAAAAGGAAGAAAGGGGAAAGAAGCGCTGGCAGACAGAGAGGACAGAGAGCACAGAAAGAAATAGAAAGGAATAAAGAAGAAGGATAGTGGGATGATGGTCTGATGGAAGGAAAAGATTAAAGAAAAGAATTGAAAGTGGAAGGGGGGCGGAAAGCAAAGAAAGACAGGGGGGTGTCAGCGGGAGAACCGACTAAGAAGGAAATATAAGAGGAAGAGAGACTGACGCGACAAGGGGAGACGGACGCAGAGAAGAGGAAGCAGGAAGAGACTGCAGCAGGCAGAGGAAAAGAAGTCAGGAGCAAACCAAAAAACGGGTGTTTCCCCTTCTTGTTATTTTTTTATGGATAATTTCTTATGTATGAACATAATTATGTGTAATTAATTTATTATGCTAGAGTGATGAGTCATGAGCCGCAACATGAATACGTAGTTTTATTTTTCAATTGCTTAAGTGTTGTTACATGCTTACTTTGATATTTTCAATCACTGAATTAAACTATCTATGTACCTTGATGCTTGATCACCATTAGGATGCTTAGAAAAGTTATCGGATGCAATTTTGAACGAATGTCACGTTAAAATTGGTTGTGCTTCTTGTGATTGAGAATTATACTCTCCTAAGGTAAATATCATGCTCTTAGGGATTATATGGTTTAACAAAAGGATTTTCACCAAGATTAATGAATCACTCATGTTTATATTTAATCCAAATGTCATGGATAAGTTGCATGTAGTGGTATGCGTTTTAGCTTGAATGTCACAAGTAAAACATACACAAGGAAAATCCAACCTTCAAAGCATGTGTGT